CTCAGGCTGCGCCAAAGCTGTGATTCATTCATTCCAATCTGTTAAAGTCAAGATAAGAAGCAAAAGAAACTAGTCTATTTATGTATTTATAGTTTACATTACTTAATACAGAACCTCTTGTCAACAATTGCTTTTTAAAATGACGTGTTTTCACTATAGGGCAAAAGTAAAGGAAATGGTGCTATGAATAATTTAGATTGACATTCATACCTATATATGAATACTTTTATCCCCTGGGAAATATTTTTTAGTAGCACTCCATTTGAGGAATAGAAAGGAAAGAATGGTCACATTAATATGGACTGGTATATAGAATATCGTCATTGATTATTTGTAATACTATATGACTTCGAATAAGCTTAAACTGAATGTTAGTTCTTTGAAATAACAGCACGAAACAATTAATTTATTCATATTTGCTGCTGATTTTCCATTTACAGCCATATGTATGCTGCTGTTTTTTCCCCACTGAAACTGAGATTGCACTTGTGTGCATCATCGGTCACAATCTCTTGGATCAGTCTGCATTGTCCAAGCTCGATTGCACCTAGAAAAGCTTTGAATTGTGTCTTGAGAATAGTAGCTTAGCCACACCACAGGTCTTTCGTTGTAACATCCCTTTCTTGGTAAGGACCAAAAAAGCACAGTTTTAATACTGCAGATGCAGACAGGTTTTTTGTTGGGCACAATTCCAGACACAATTTCAAGGTGCTTTAGAGAGGTATTAAGGCTGAATGGATCATTTTAAAAACGCTTTATAATTGGACAGAAAAAGGATGAAAGGGAAATAAAAATGAGTGCAATAAAATTGAACTAAAACAAAAAATAGAATACTTTTTTTTTTTAAACGGTAGCGTTTTCAGTTTAACTTAATGTGTCCAGAACAGTGGGTTCCTGGTTTGACTGGGAAGCTTTTCTACGTGGAGTTAACATGATATCCCCATGTATGCAAAGTTTTTCTCCAGGGTCCCCAGTATGTTCCTACAGTCCAAAGGCACTTATGTTTGAGTTAATTGGAGACTCTAAGATGACTTTTTGTGTGAGCGCATGATCTCTGAGTGGCTTTGTGATAGACTGGTGGCCTGCCCTGGGTGTGCCACGCCTCTCACCCATTTCAGCTGGGTAGGGGTCAGCTCTTAATTGCACAGACCTGAACTGTAAACACATCTAGACTGTAACCAACATAGCTTTTTACCACCTCACACTAATTAGAAAGTCAGAGATCTCACATCCAGAGCTGGTTTAGAGAAGCTAATTCATGCTGTCATCTGTAATGGATTCCACTACTGTGATGCTCCTTTATCTGGTCTTCAAAAATATAATTAGACAGCTTCTGCTCATCCACAAGGCTGCTGACTGAGGCCTGAACAAGAGCCCAAAAAACTGAACCCATCCCTGCGGTTCTGATATTCTAACACTGTTACCAGCCGAATAGACTGTAATCTAACCTCTCCATTTTACTAAAAGTATGCAAAGTATTTGGGATTACAAAAAAAGAAAACCTCTGATTTTATTGTCTTCATGCAAAAAGAAGTTTGAACAGTGATTATTTACTATTTCAAGAGTGGAGTGTGCAATTAAAGTCAAGAGAGTGCACCGGTAATCTTCAAAAAGGTCTAATCTATCATGGGTGATTGCTGCCAATTGCAACGTTGAGGATGTTCTCTGGATGGGAGGGTGATGGTTACTACGGTAACATCATCTAAAGGGGATCAGAGAAAATGCATATTTCATGTGGGAATGTTTTCTTTGAGATCTCAGAAATTAATCTCAGCATCATAAATAATTTCTGTGGCCACGAGAGTCAGTGGAAAATTAAACCTTCCTTTTAAATCTTTGGTAAATGAGAAATTTACAGCTGAGTTTTGGGGAATGTTCCTTTTTATCTTAGGCGTCAACATTTCAAAGCATTTTTAAAGCACGTAAGCCACTGTCAGTTTAAGCCACAAACATTATTAACATAACATTATTTCACAATCATCATTTAAAGAATGTTATATTATCTTAGGTGTTTTTTTGTCTGCTGGCATCAGAAAGCTCAAAATCTGACCAGACAACATACTTATTAGGTTGAAGTTATTACACACTTACTGTGTGATCAAACTCTATCAGATATTTACAAATGATTCATTTACAGATAAGAAAGACACATTAAAATAGTTTATATAGCTACATTTATATATGTGTGTGTGTGTGCGTGTGTGTGTGTGTAGTTTCACTTTATCATTTTAGGTGACAAAACACTGTAAATCATATCTTAACTTCTCGACAGGAAATAAAACCTAGTGTTTAGTACCCGCCCTGTGTTTGAGTCCTGTCTTATCTTTTTTGCACTAAGAGGATGTAAGCTCAGGTTATCTGTAAATGAACATCTAGTGTTTTCAGCTTGTTACTTATAACACCTTGTTGCAAGATACACAAAGAGAAGAAGGAAGGTGAAAGCTTTGGGAGATGGTAGTGTGAGGTGTCAGGCTGTAGATTTGAGATTGACAGATCAATAAGTTGATATCACTTCGTGCATGCCTGGTCCTTTCTCACTTGGAGATCACAAATGTCACTAAATTGTTCTGTCATTTTGTTGTGTCTAAACTGCACAGGTCCAATTTTGGATTTAAGAGATTAAAACACGGTTTATCTGTGACATCTGTTTTCCAGGGATTGTCTTACAAAAGATAAAGAGTTTATATATGTAGCAGCCAGTCAAAATGAGCAAAGTGGAGCCTTCATACACTGCATAGGCATATGCACTTGACAGGACTCCACCTTTTTGTACTCTACCACTTCCTCTTAACACCCTGAAGACAGGAAGCGAAAAGAGGCAGAAGAGGAAGAAAACCAAAGGGGGATGGGCTTATTGCCTTTATTTAAAGTCGAATAAATTGCAGAAGAGAGAAGTTGAGTGAGAGAGATGAAAATAGGAGGAGAATCAGAAAGACACAGTTTGTAAAATAGGTAAAGGGCTACAAGCAATCATGGCGCCTTGGACAAGGACTGCTACAGAGCGATTTGGTGTGGGTAAGTCAGGTTCTGCTCACTTATGTGTCTCTATTTGTGTGTGAATGGAGATACATTTAGGTTTGCCTGCTCAGTGTTTTTGTATAATGACAGACGTTCGGTCTCATGACTGAAAATGAAACGGTAATGGACAGCTTCTCATCACTTCCTGCCTGTTACTTTGTGAGCAGGTGCTGGAGATCCCTGAGCCCTGTTGAAGATGCACATCCGATTTAGTCCCAACTCGAAACCCTAAAATCACATTCATCAATTTGTTTTGGTAGAGCAAAACCCACAAAAGCTGCAGCGCAATGTGACAGATTTATGACCAAGTCTTTGATCAAATGGAACTACAACTAGCAGTTAGTTGGCTGTTTCTGAACGGTGCAACACAACATTGTGGAACTGTCAAGCTACTTTGTTATCTAAATAGGAAATGGTTATATTTGATATTTTTAGGACTAGATCTTAGACTGTGCAAGCAGTTGACAGTTAGTCTGGTGTGCGGTTTAATATGGCGGAGCTAATCAGCATGTGTTCCCACTAGATATGCAACGCAATCAAAAACTTGACAAAAACACAGATTTTTTTACTTCTTATGCAGCTCACCAATTGTAAGCATTGCATATATCTTTTTAAATGCTAGAAATTAGTTACATTGGTGAACAAGGAAATTAAAGTTTTTTTGTACAAGTAGTTTTACTAAGCCTTTCTTAATACCGACAATCAAAGTGTCATTGAACAATAAAGAGTGAAGTAGCTAATTGCAAATATTGCATTGTTATTTATGGACTGTGTGACTCGATCTGAAATGAATTTCTTGCTAGTTTGTGTAAGACTACAACACAGGAAGTGGAGGACAAGGAAGGAAGCTTGTGTGAGTTTAGATCTGCACAGCTGAGAATTGTAGAAAAAAACTGAAACAAAGAAATATTCATGCCATCATATGGCTCATGTACGTTTTACTTTTACGTAAAACTTTTATTAACTTAAATGTATTACGGTAACATTGAAAAGAGCAAACTTCTGGGTTCTTACGTGATGGATCCTGTATGTGAGCAGCTGCTGCCGCTATCTTAGCTTTGCTTATTCCAACATGAGTGGCACTTTTGCTCTCACAGATAAACCGAGGACTAAATGTCATCAAGCTTTTTATTTTAGACTTCAAGTTAAAAAACAAATTAATTAAATGACATTAAATAAATGTAACTAATCCCAATAAGCATGAACTACATGTACAAAGCAGCATTTTTTGCAACAATCAAATTTCCTTTCATAAAAAAGTATCTGTTATCAAATAAAAAAAGAAACAGTCATTTCCTGTTGGTCTTATCAAGCAATTCTTTCTTTACCTGATGAAGTGGCAAAGGGAAGCAGTTGTCATGGTTACCAGATGAACTGGTTATTTTTTAAGCAGAGGTACACTTTGTGCTAACAGTTATATGGGGACTTGGCAATGTGTGTTATAGTGAAAGTGTGCGTTTTTTCATTCTACTACCTTAGTCAGCAGTTATACGTTTGTCTTCTGACCAGAATTGTTTTCTATTTAGTGAAATGGAATTTTATCGGCCAAGGAGAGAAGCAACTTTCCCTGGAGGTGGGAGACACGGTTTACATCCAGGAGGTCTGCGATGGTAGGAGTGCTGAAAAACAATCTGTTGTGAAATTATTTTTAATAATCATTCTTTTAGCTCCTGAATTTGGAAATACGTTGAAATGATTGGAAGCACATGCTGTAAATGTGGTATAATTTAGCATGGCTTTCAAAAAGCATACATACTGTGCCATTACAGTATGATGACATGGTAATAAACCACACTTTTCTCTTTTTCTCTGTTTTCATAATCATTCATGTTGCCTATTGTCAAATTAGGCATATTTGTTTATCGCTCATGTAAAAGGGAAAACGTGTAATCAAACGGAATCTCACATCTTGATTTTCTGCGTATGATGGTCAGATAAAGTGTTAAGATGAAGTGAGATGACTATCACCTTGTCTTTCAGGCTGGTACAGAGGCTACTTGACAAGGAACAAAGCCCAGCAGGTACATTTTTTTAATTTTCTTTTATTGCACATCTGGTACTAAGAAGGGTGACAATGACACACAGAAAGCTGTGAAGCAGCTTTATTCACAAGTTAGCTCTTTTGCTCATGTGTTGTGGATATTTTCATCTTACTCATTGGTCATATGCATGTGATCCCTGCTAGGGAGTGTTCCCGGTCAGCTTAGTCCATCTTAAGGAGGTCATCGTTGAAAAGCGAGGGTGAGTGGAACGAAAATGCTGTCGCTAAATGTTAAAGTAGGTCTTTTATCTGTCCAGTTTAATGTGCCTTCGTGTGCATCTGTAGAGATGAGGAAGTGGTGATGTCTGCAGAGATGCCTTTGGTCAAGGAGGTGACCACCACACTGCGGGAGTGGGGCAGCATATGGAAACAACTGTTTGTGGTACAAATAAAGCCAATAAAAGTGATTTTAACATGACGATTTATGTGTGTGAATGTGGGAATGTAACACTGTAGGTCTATCTGCCCAGGCCAACAAACACGTGCGTGTGAAGCAGATCCAGAGGCTCATGTGGGAGTTGATGGAGTGGCGTTCTCAGCTGCTGTCTGGGACATTGCCTAATGATGAATTCAAGGAGCTCAAGCAGAAAGTTACTTCCAAGATTGATTATGGCAACAAGTAAGTCTGCACTAATAGACATTGTATATTGTAGAACTTATTTATCACTGAAGCTCGTCACACAACCTGTAATGAGCTTCTGTGTTTAGCTATATAGTGTTTAGCAAATCTCTGCCTTATTCTAATTGATTTACACACTTCTGGTCATCGTGACTTATTCGGTTTGCTCTCTCTTGTTACCTCTTTGTTCTTTTTACATCTTTAATCTGATTCCATCAATCCCCTGATTTCCAATTGCTGCTGCAGGGTTCTAGAGCTGGACCTTGTCGTACGAGATGAAGACGGCAACATCTTGGACCCCGAAAGAGCTAATGTCATCAGTCTCTTTAGGGCACATGAGGAGGCCACAACCAAGATAAATGAACGCATTAAAGAGGAACAGGTACAAAACAGCAAAGTTCAGAGGAAAGAGGGAAGATTACTGAATAGAAAGTTTGTTTCCGAATGAATCTGAAAGCCTCTATGGAGAAATTGCTCGAACCTTACTTGAAGTGACATGGGTCCATTTTTATGTTTTTTTGAGCTGCACATTTGGTCTTTTTCTTTGGCAATTATACCACAAGTGAATTTCAGAAAGTTTGATTCTTAACAAATGTAGTCACATGTCATGCGGCCTATTTTACATTTAAACATTCATGGTTGATCAGAGGACATTGAAATTTTCCACATATTTTTTTCCCTTCCATACAAAAAGGCCTGGTACCATGTCTTGCAAATGAAAGAATACCTCCACTATTCCTGTGAATAATCCTTAAAACGATGGCTTTTCCTGCAGTCCAACATCCAGACAGACCACAGTGGCATCTCGGCGCGGATCCAGTCTTCGCCCACCCACAGCCTCTACGTCTTTGTCAGGAACTTCGTCTGCCGCATCGGAGAGGATTCTGAGCTCTTCATGTCCCTCTATGATCCCATCAAGCAGACCATCATCAGGTACCAATTTCTCTGCCTTTGTCCCTTACTCTGATGCTGATCAGATATTTTGGACATGCATTTGTGTCAGATTAAGTATTATTATTTGTATGTTCTCTCTGTGTATGTGTGTCTTTCTTTGGGAACTCATCTCTTTACCATAGGACAAATTACGATCTAAAGATAATGAAGTTTATTCCAATAGAACTGGAATATAGAGGAATCTGCATGAAGTTTGCTTCTCTTCCACAGCACTTCTTTTAGTACAAATTTTTTGTCTGAACTTTTCTCTCCTCTTGCCTCCATGTCTCAGCTGTGTAAAACATATATGCACACTAACGGTCCAGCCCACACGTTCTCCTCCTTTATCCTCCAGTTTTTGTCTGTATACCTCGCCTTCTCCTCTCTTCTATTGTTGAGCCCCACTAAGATATGACATTTTGCCAAAAATAGCGATAAATAAAATTCAAATTATAGGGGCTGCAGATGGTGACTGACAGCACTGTATGTCGCGTCGTATTGCTGATGTTAAGCCCTGTCACTCACTGTCACACTGGGAGAGCTCAAAGTATCAAGATGAGGTTCAATGAAAGATATGTATTTTTTAATGTATATCCTCTACATATCTGTATGTACTTTGTTTATTAGACAGGCTAAACGCTTAACTTTATCTTAAGCATTAAAATCAAAGTTAAGCATTTCTTTTGAGCTGTTCTCAAACTTGATCCTTCTCATTTCCATTTCTTTAAAAACAAAACGAACACTGAATTATGGTAATTACCTGTATATAGTTATTTTTGTGTATTGTACAATTGAGCAAAATGAACATCGGTATGTTTATTTATTATTTCTAAGCGTGGTGATAACGAATCTTTAATGTGGCCTGTTTTCTAAAGTGTCATTGTGCTTTGTACAGTGAGAACTATTTGGTTCGCTGGGGCAGCAGAGGTTTCCCAAAAGAGATTGACATGCTGAACAACCTGAAGGTTGTCTTTACAGTAAGTGGCCACAGGAGGACACTGTAACACTTTTTCTTAGCTTACAAACCGCACAACGTGGAGGAATGAATGAACTCATTTCTTTTCTTATTTTCCTTCCTGTCTTTTACCAGATCTTCTTATTTTTGCTTTCTCTCTCTCTTTGTCTACCAGGACCTGGGGAACAAAGACCTGAACAGAGAGAAGATTTATCTGATCTGTCAGATAGTGAGAGTTGGCAGGATGGACTTGAAAGAAACAAACCACAAGAAGAGCACTCAGGGCCTCAGGCGGCCTTTTGGGGTGGCAGGTACTTTAAGAAGAGTCAATACAATTTATTTTGGTCCAAACGGGGGCTGAATTGCTAAGCAGGGAGGTCAGGGGATAAGCAAGTTAATTACACTTATTTAATAGCTAATATAAAATAATTCTAATTGGTATCAGTATTTACTATGTTGTCAGCCCAATGTCTCAGTGTGCTCTCAGTGGATATACTCACAATTTATGTAAATTTATTTTTACAAGGAATTAAACATATTATGATTATTTGCTAAGGTGAACAACGCAGACAGTTTGTCATCTGTTATCTATCCTTAAAGTTTGTTTACGCTGTCAATCTGAAAGCAGTTTTAACCTATCTCTGAAAACTGTGCAATACTGTATGATAGAAATGTATTTTTGTGTCTCATTCATTTACCAAATTTCCAGAGAAGAATACACAAACAAGAAGTAATTATTTGACATGTCACTAGTGGTAATTCAGAATAATTGCATGTATGGCAGCCACCAGGTACAATTGTGATTTTAAATAACTTGTATAACTAATATAACAAAAAATAGATGATTTATAACTTAACTTATTTTCTACCATTTAGTTTATGTTGCACCTACATAAACTGTAGCCTAGATGCTTATGTGACTTTTCAAGAGATTGGTTAGGGCATTTATTTCAGCCAGGTTTGTGAGTGTATTTTCTTCTTGACTGAGGTAAATTCCCATTACACGGTGTATGATTGTAGTTCTGTCTATCATTGTTCTCATTACGGGCACCTTTTCTACTTTTCTTGGCAGTGATGGACATAAGTGACATTATCAAAGGGAAGATTGAATGCGATGAGGAGAAGCAGTTTTTCATCCCCTTCTTTCCGTATGTCCCATTTTCCTCTGATATTACTTGTCCTCTCTTGTGCCTCTATCTCATATTTTACCCTCAATCCAGTTTATTTTCAAAATATTTTTTAGGATCTCCTTGCAGATCCTCTGTTTAGTTAAAATGGCATTGTTATGATTCTGTGGTCACATGTGATTTCGGTTTAAAGCACTTGTTTGCGTATGTGTGGTTCCAGGGTAGTGGCAGAGAATGACTTTCTTCACACCTTACTGAACAAAGTGACAGCATCAAGGGGGGACAGTGGTGGTCAAGGTACTGTGCGGCTATGACTGGCTTTTCTGTCTGTTTCTAAGGCATGTGACAATCCTGGCAAAAGATAGTCCTCTAGTCACCCAAGGTACCCGCTGGAGTGTGTGTAATGCAGTCATTTGCGCTCATAGCAAGTCACCAATACTTAACGTGTCCTTGCCTCTTCTCTCGCCACGTGAGTTGCGAATGAAGGACAGTGTCCAGATGGATAGCACTCACTCTTACGCTTCCATCCCTTCTGCAAACTGCGGTGATTTTCCCTTAAAGTAGCTCTGGCCAGGCCCCAGCCTCACTGCCAAGTTCCTTGTTTTTATGGCAGACTCTGACAGCCCCTGCTGGTGAAAGCATCATGCTTTACAAAAAGTAACCCTGCATGTTAGACTGCGCTGTCATAGCCACCAGCTTTTATCTTCCTCCTGAAGGCTCAGAGCGCAGCCCAGATACTGAAGGAGGCCCTGCCTGAGCAGATATAGAGGGAGCACCTGTGGCCACAAGATGTCTGCTCTTAGTGTTACTCTCCTCTAATCTCTTCTTCCCCACACTTTGAAATGCATTTGTTATTGTACACACGTACTCGCACAGACCAACACACTTAAATACTTTTTCCCTTTGGGCAGGTGTTTTTTTTTAAAAGAAAGTCTGGCTTTTACCAGCCATATGTTTTTCTATAATGCTTAATCCCCTCATCCTTTCTGAAATCTGCTTGAGCCCACACTTTATAGAAATAAATCGTGGATGCTTGTAGCCTTTTATTTTTAAGAGACAGGGGGAGGGTGTCTGCGTCTGTCGTACTACTGACAGAAAGCCAGTATTTGAAGAAACGCTGCCCCTGTAAGTTTAGTCAACCTAACCAGATATGATTGTAATGGCACTGAACCCATTGAGGGTCACGGTAAGATCCATGAAAACAATTTGGGATTATTAAGTGGCCTTATCCTGAAATGCATGTACTCACTATTTCTGTCCAAATTTCTGTTCTTTGCACTTTTTTCCTAAAGAAGCATAATTCCTGTCAATATTCTGTTCACATGGTCCTATGGTTCTTTTATATTCAAAGATCACAAAATTTTACGCTTTACTGAAGCCCATTTTTCTCTTGTTTGACATTCCATTCCGAAAAGGTTTGAAACAAGAATTCTGCTGCATTGATTAGAGTCTAGTCTGTTCTATTGTTCATTTGCACATCTCCAGTAAGTTTAGCCAAATTGTTCTTACTTATTACTAAGTAATAAATTAGAAAGTAATCACTATATTTCTACCGTCTAGTGTTTCAAAAGATCTTGGCAACATTAGTGCTGGTTTTGAATAGTTCTGCTATTTTTGTTGTTTTTTAGAAACAAAATGCTGAAGTTTTGCTGGGCTGAAATTTAGAAATGTTATGATGTAGGATTGTAGAAGTATATAGAGTTGAACAGAAACGCTGCTCTGAAACAAGAATGGGCAGCCCCTTAGCCGATACCATTCATTTTAACATTGTTTCTCCCCATCAAATGAAACAGGTCTGTGGGTCACCATGAAGCCTCTGGTAGGAGACATAGTTCAGATCCGGAAGGAGTACCCTCACCTGGTGGACCGCAGCACGGTGGTCGCTCGCAAGCTGGGGTTCCCAGAGATCATCATGCCCGGAGATGTTCGCAATGACATCTACCTCACCTTACAGGGCGGTGACTTTGACAAATACAACAAGACGACCCAGAAAAATGTGGAGGTTATCATGTGGGTCTGTGATGAGGAGGGCAAAGTCATACAGGTAAGCAGCTCAAAGAAATCAAGCACAATTTGTCTGTCTGAGCAGAAGTGAAGTAGAGTTCCTCCCCCTCAAAGTAAATGGCAATTAAAAGCAGCATTAATGCTTTTAACTATACACATAAACACAGAAAGGTAAAGCAATGTGAAAACTTAGAATGATACATTTTCCATTAACTGATTTTTTCCTAGAACTCCATCTGTCTGGGAGCTGGAGATAAGGCAGTTAGTGAATACCGGTCAGTCATCTACTACCAGATCAAACAACCTCGCTGGATGGAGACATTTAAGGTTTGTGTGTGCATGTGTGTATTACTTCCTTCTCCTTTGTCTATCTCACAATTACTTTGAAAAAGCCTTGTTATTTTTCATCAGTTTCATTCCTACTTTCACCAGACACAATGTCACGGTGAAAGTTTAGAATATTCATCCTTTTATGTTGTGCAGTAACAGAGGATGTCTTACAGGTGGCAGTACCTCTGGAGGAAATGCACAGAATACATTTGCGCTTCATGTTCAGACACCGCTCTTCTCAGGAGTGTGAGTATCGTCCTCATTGTTTATAACACCTGTATGGATTTTCCACAGGATTAACACTTTTAACTGTCTCCTCCTGTCTAATCCCTTGAGAATAATGTGATCCTGAAAGAAAATGATTGTAACCAATTTGAAAACCTAACCATTACACACATTTTACATTTCAAATGAGCAGTTTTTCCATTATTCTGTATCTGAAAGCTCAACATGCATTATGACATGCATTACTATTAGCTTCTATTTACAGATGTGGATTTTTTCTTCTCCACAGCCAAGGACAAAAGCGAGAAGAACTTTGCTATGGCTTTTGTGCGTCTGATGAAGGAGGACGGGACAGTTCTACAGGATGGTCTGCATGACCTTGTAGTCTTCAAGGTATCCATTTAATTTAAGTTTAATGAATTTAATTTCATTTCAGTTTAATTCAAATTCCATAAATGATCCCAAATGCCAGTATTCTCATTCTCTGATTAGCAAATAACAGCAATGCGCAACTAATTAGTTTGTCAAAACACAGACCTTTTAGACTTGCTCAGATAGAGGATTTCCTACTCTCCTTTTTAGTGAATTTAAAGAACTTTATAGAGGCAAAGAGTTTGGGATTTAGCAGCTAAATGACACTAAATTGTGGATGTTTGTCAAATTAAATGTATTAGCTCAAATTAAATTGGCCACTTGTGAAACTATTGGGCATGACAAACAACATTAACACACAGTGTGATTTGCCAAAAACTAAAATGCAGCTTCATATTGAAAGGCTGTTGATGCAACGGAAATAATTTGATTATGTCTGTTTAGTTCCAGCAGTCACTGAAGCAGTGCTAAAGATATAGTGAGTCTTGACAGATTATGGCCACTCAGACAGGTTGAGTGAAGCCAAGTAGACTCACTGTTAAATGAGCCAGAGCTCAAATTGAATCCCCTTATTGATTATATGTCAAACGCAGTGAAGATTAATTACACGTGATCCGCTCAAATATCAGATGGATGGTCCCCCTGTGCCCTTTTTCTCAATTATCTCTTGTTATCCCTGCATTTCTCTTGATCTCTCTGTCTCTTATGGCTTCAACCTCTTTCTTCTCAATATTTTCAACCACATGCTCATTTAGGGCCTTAATAATGAGAGCAGTTGATGGATTTTAAACTATGCTCTTGAGATGATGAATTGATATGTGGAACACTCTGCCTCTATCTACAGTTAAATATGATACTGCAAGCCGAACTTAAGATAAAGGTTTTCTACTTTTACCACCTACCTTTACATCTTTGTTTTTTTTTTCATTTTACAAGCTGAAGATAAGTTTGACAGAAAAGAGGAAAAAGTCGTGACATGTTCAATCACTACTTTCAGAGAAATCCGTCCTCAGACACTCGGATTGTTTTCATGGAAGGATTGGCCTGATGAATCACTTGAATTGTAACAAATGGGGGTGTCTCTTTGTTTTCTCTTCCTTATTTGCATCAAGACATATTTTACTAATTGTCCCAGTGCGATTTAGACAGCCACCAAACATCTGCTCCCTCATTACCACGGTTACGTGTGGGACGCTGTTTTCTTAACCATGACTCGGTCCTCTCAGGGCGACAGCAAGCGCATGGAAGATGTGAACTCCTACTTGTTCCTGCCCTCGACCCGCCACCACCACGGCGACACCCACAAGGGGTCAGGGCTGAGCCGCAGCTCCAGCAGCGTGTCTGGAGGGGGAGGTCTGTCGGTCAGCTCCAGAGACAGCTTCACCATCTCCACCCTGGTCTGCTCCACTAAACTCACCCAGAACGGTAAGCGCAGACGTGGGATCCAGACAGGTGTAACACTGTATTCAAACCTTGTTTGTGACATTGTAGAGACTCGGGAGGTGTGGCAAGACAAATATACACTGAGAGGGTGTTTAAATGAAGACGTGACACATGAGAAATAATTTAATTCTTTCAACAGAGGAAGGAGGCCTGGCCCAAACAATGAATCATTGTTGGCTGTGACAATGGTAGTTGGCATTACTTTGAGCAGAAACTCTCTTAAATTTTGACCGCATAAGATGTCCTAAATCACAATCATATCCTGGAATAAATGATTAGAAATGTGCCATATCTGCGTGGCAAAGCCATAAAGTGGAGGTAAAATAAAGAGAACAATCTTTTAATTGATTAACCAATGTTGATTTAAGGCTTTAGAGTTGAAAGTCCTTGGGCATTCACAAGAAGCTCTCTAACAAATCTCAACTGAACGATTAAAAGTTTAATCACACTTAGATTATTATAATCAATGGCAAGAGGGCTCTTGCTTTAAATCTGGGCTAGATGCATGCTGTTCGATGGGTTCTCTCCATTTCCCACGCTCCCTCCCACTGTGCAGGAACATGAATGCTAAGTTATTTGGTGTGTCTAACTTGTCTGTAGGAGGGAGGCTGAGCATGTTGTTGGTCATGTTTGTCTCCCTGTGATGGGCTGATGCACGTTTCACTTTTGCCCTATGACAGCTGGAATAAGCTCCTGTGACTCTGAATTGGATTAAGTGGGTATAGAAAATGGATGGACAGATTATGGTTTAATGTTATATAAGATGCAAACAGCTTTGCTCCCATCTGCCACCACATCAAAGCCAGTGACTCAAAGAAATTTCAACAAACTGACAAGGAGGACTGGTTACATCTGGAGCCATTTGACCCGATTGCTCAAGGAGAATGCTTCAAAGGTCGATAAATATATAATTCATACGCAACACGGTGCTGCAACAACAAAGTTTGTTCTGTCAGACACTTGTATTTTGCAAAACCAACAGCAGAATTTCTGTCAAAGTGAGTGTTGAAAAAAGGTTGTTCTTAAAAAAAAAGAAACTATGCTCGCGGTATGTTTGGTATACAATATTGAGCAGTCAAAGAGAGGGCAGAGGTCGGGCTGGGTGTATGTTTTTTTTCTCGGTGAGCAATGTAAGCCTCGTGAGACACACTTTCAACGAGGAACGCATGCGCACACGCATAACTGCACATTCACTCCAGGCAGCGAGGAGCGCCAGACCCAGGTGCAGAGCAACAGCTGTTACCGAGGAAGTCAGTCCATCACTGTAATGAACAGTTTCCTGCAATATTAATCACCTTTACCACATGCACAAATACAGACACATGCCCGCGGTCTGGCTAGCATGCATGCGCGCGGCGTTGTTAAGGGCCACCCTCCAGATGTGCGGCTTGGCATGACGCGTCAGAAATTGTTGGACAGGGAGAGCGGTGGGCTTGAAATATGGGACAGCCCCACAGAGACAGAGCAGTGTGTCCCAAGTCAATCTGTAGCAGTATTAATGGCTGAAGATGGGGTTCTGAATAGTCATTTGAATGCCTCGCAAACTGGATGCTTAGCGCAAGTCTGTCCTAGGTTGATTTGCATCGATTTGCTTGAGGAAAATGGAAGCACCCAAAGTTCACTGAGATGAAAGAACAAACAGATCAGTTGCAAAAAATTAAGCTCAGCTCAGTAATGCACTTTGCATTTTTGCTGACACTCCCTTTCAGTTTATTACACCCGTGATAGCGTAACTTTAACTGCACCCCAAGTGGCAGAACTTCACAGCCTCGTTTACTTTAAACAGATGAGAGAATTGAGCGGCACCTAATGTTTGTTTTCAATTTAGCAATTCAGTCAGCTGAGCAACAAATGTCTCATCAGGCATCCTCAGCATCGTAAGCACAACCAGGGATGCAGGCACGAGCACACAGTAAATACCCCCCATCAGAAAACGCTGCCTCTGCTTTCAGTGGGGCTGCTGGGGCTGCTGAAATGGAGGACCCGACCTGAACTCCTGAGAGACAACCTGGAGAAACTCAAAATCATTGACGGCGAGGAGGTGGTAAAGGTCAGTGCCGTGAATTCAAACGTCCCGGTGCATGACAGCGGACTGGCATGACCGTGCTCTCACTGACCCTTTGGTGTGTCTGCATGTATGTAGTTTCTGCAGGATACCCTCGATGCCTTGTTCAACATCATGATGGAACACTCACAGACAGACGACTATGACATCTTGGTGTTTGATGCCTTGGTGAGCATGCAGGATCTCTGTTTACTTACAAAATGTTTCGGATCTGAGTGTCTGTGTCTCTGTGTGTGTGTGTGTGACTTGTCAACACACACAGCAGATTCCTTAACAAGCAGTCTTGAGTCTAACACGTCGTATCTGCCTGTCTATTTTTCAAAGAGGAGGGTCTGTCAGACGACTGTAAATAACTCACATCTGCTTTGTAAATGTTTGCGGCTGCACGAACATGTCGCTTAATCTTTCTCTCTCTTCTCCTTTCTGTCTGACAGATATATATCATCGGGCTGATAGCCGACAGAAAATTCCAGCATTTCAACACAGTGCTGGAGGCCTACATTAAGCAGCATTTCAGCGCTACACTGGCCTACAAGTAGGTTTCATCGCGAATCAGGAGACTTTGGCAGTGTCACATGAGGGGAACGTAAAGGGTGGAAATTAAACGTGTGCATGTTGTCCTGTTCACTAGTTCACTTGACTTGTCTTTGAAGGTTTTGCAAATTGTGCCTCTTTAGAGAGTCAGTACCTTCTATGAGTATATGTGGTCCTTTTACACCTGATGGTGCAGGTGACAATCAGAGTTTTTGGCCTGTCCTTCATAGCATCAGTGTGTAGTTCTACACATCTCAAGACCATCTACTGTACTTCTTCGTTTGTACCAGTGTGGCTCTGGTGAAAACAGGGTTTTTGCTTCTCCTCTTCATCATCCCCCTTCTCTTCACAGAAAGTCTTCATTTATTTCAGTCCTTGTATTTATCAGTCTTCACATCACTACTCTATCTTTCTCTGCCTATGTATGGTATTCACCCTCTTTAAGAGGGTCACTCCAGCTTATTGCCTGTCAGCTCAGGGGTTGTTATGTAAAATGCTTTAACTCCCTCACAACATTTTAAACTGCTCTCAAAAAGCATAAATCCTCGTCAGCTTGCCTTCAGGCCATACATCTAGAATAAACTATAAAGAACTAAATGGTTTTGATGGAGGGCATTCGTGGTTTGGACAGTTTTAAACCAACTTAAACTGGTTAGTGGGTTATCCCGATTTGCTATTACATGGAAAATGAGCCATTCTCTTGACCTCCACAGGCCCAGTTTATTGTGCGTCATCTGTATGCCAGCATTGTGTGCCATTGGAACAGTGCAAATGGGACTGTGTTATGTGGGAAGGTCATGAATTCAAACTGAACTCCGAGCCCCCTACAAATCTCTCCAGCTTTTTTGACACATTGAGGTATTTGTGTATGTGACTAAAGACGCCTGTGGGGCGTGCATATGTCAGAGATTAGATTTCTTTTTTTGTCATGCATCAAACTGCAAATGGAAATGCTGTGAGTCTGATAGGCACATCTGAAGAGGTGTGAAGTTTTTTTTTTTTTTTTTTTGCTCCAGCCCTGCCAGTCAGTCTCCTCTCCCTCCGGCTCTGCCACACTTTGTCTTTCTGCTCTATGGAAGTGAGAAATGGAGTTGGTGATTAACTTCCCTCCCTGTATGACACCAGGAATGTAATGACAATTCTGTTTTCAATGCTTCTGATTCATCTCTGTCTCTCTGTCTTTGCTCTCCTGTCCCTTTTTCTCTAAATCATTCTCTTGAAGGAAGCTGATGTCAGTGTTGAAGAGGTATCTGGATGTGTCCAGCAGAGGAGAACAGTGTGAGCCCATCCTCAGAACCCTCAAAGCCCTCGAATACATCTTCAAGTTCATCGTTCGTTCACGCATGCTCTATTCCCAGTGAGTGCACAATTTTTCAAATTTCATTTTCGTTTTGACTGATTTCTTTAGTGAAAATAGTTTGTTTTGTTTATTCAAAACTGCTAAATAAATTGATGAAGGTGCGCAGAACACTGGGCTTCTGCATACGTAAAGTAATTGTGTTGACAGCTCTGCAAGAAGAGACTGCTGATAACAGCACTGTTGCTAATAAGTACTGATGATGAAGTTCAGCAACCAAATGAGAGCTAATGTCAGGGCAGGACTGCTGAATTGGCAGCCAATATGGGCAGACAAGGTTCCAGTGGGATTGGTGCCCACTGTGCTTAGAAATCATCCACCATTACACCATATGATGAGTGTAAATACTTTATATCAGCTGTGTGAAAGGGCCATTGACAGCTCTCACTCATTTTTCATAAGTGTGGGAAAACCTTATTCGTTCGTATCCTGGAGTTCAGTGGGGGTGTAGCAGAGATTTTATAACTCATTTCCAAATTTATATAAACAATGAAACCAAAAACAGAATGTATTGATTAGCCCATCTAAAAAAACAATGACTTATTCACAATACACAGCATGAATATCAGTTCATTTGAAATGATAGCGGTACTGTGTCTCAAATATGCTGAGTTTAAATAATGTCAAATTTCAGTTGGTCAGAGCACAGAAAATCCTTCAGCCCATTTTAAGTAGGCTTTTCCCCTGGAAAGATTAGTTCATGATATGATGATGTTTTTCATTAAATGGTAATGTAATGTAACTTTCAAGATTTGACGCGTTTTAGATCCTGCTGTGCATAAAAGATCGCTTAATGAGATTTTCATCACTGCACTTGACTTTTATTCAGATATTATTGATTCACAGAATATTGGGATGGTCGTTGAAAGAGGAAGTTTTTGTAAATCTTTTTTTTTTTTAATTTGGGTTTATTGAGCAATTTTGACAGCAAGTCAACCAGTCACAACCCACATTAGACTGGTGGACTTGTATAATAGCTCTATTTTGACTCTATTGCATTCTTACTATATTGTTTTATATACCCAGTAGCATTCACTTTTTTATCTAATGGTTTCGAACATATTCATTAGATTATATTAGAAAGTATTCAATGTCTTTTGTGAAATGATTTGCTTTTATTTAAATATATTTAAATAATATATTCATCGTCTTTGGGTACAACATGATGTATGCATTAGTGCTAAGAATGAATACGTGAACAAAATCTAAACTAAGACTCAGAAGTGATGAGTTCACTGTTTGGAAACTTGCTTATCATCATAATCTGGTTCGATGAAAGGTATAGCTTAGTATCAAAGACTTCAAAATGAAGGTATGTTTTCTGTAGAATAGTCATTTCGATTCCGAGCTTAGGGCCACATATATTTGTGCTTTGTATAAACATGTAGGCATATGCAAGAACACAAACATGAAGTACTGTCATACTTCTGTTTATATGTCTGTGTGTGTGTGGGTGCATTGCATTAACCCTCCTGTACCCTTTGGATGACTTAATCTCAGTTTTCAGCATCCCTCGATGTCTCAAAGCGATGAGCTTTACTCTGCTTTTCCCTTTATTTCCTTCTCTCCTTCTATTGTCTCCTATATACATTATGTACACAGCTTAGGATCCTTCTCAATATAGAGATGTCATCCTTTTTATATTTTCCTGTGGTATAAGAACTGATCATGCCATCAGTAATCTGGTTCACCAGCAATCATTGTTTGTTAAGTAGTTGGCATTTAAGATCTATTGCCATGTCAAAATGGTTTGTTGCTCATGCAAAGACCAATAGGAATCTGGGATGTTTACTTGATCTGCCGATTTTAGATCACAACCTTGTCTGTTACGTACTCCCAACTCAATTCAACCCCGTTGTCCTACTTTCCATCTGACCATTTTCAAACCTAGTTTTGTGTCTTGTGTCTACCACATAACACGTTAACAGCTTGTGTAACGGTGTGTCAGCAACAGAGAGGGAGAGCATGTTTCTCATTTGGAGTTAGCCACACAAGTTTGAGTCAAGATGCTGGTCTTGAAAGTGTTGTGACAGATCTGTTCTTCCGAGTAGAATGAGGTGTCAGCAGCAGAGGTATCATTTTGCAACTCAGTTTAGAGCTCTATTATTCATATATAAAGCATTGTTTAAAAAGAATTAACAAAAATTGATGCACTTTTCCTTTTTTTCAAGCTATACCATGAGATTATTTATGTTTACCTCTGTAAACTGCAGCTTGACTTTTCAGCAGAAGCATACAACCACAAGCCAGTCACTGTAGTTTTCACGTTAACTTCAAACACAGACACATTACAGCAGTTTTTGGTTTGTGCATCACTAGGTTGCATATCCTTCATTTATTAACCATATGGTGGTGGCTGTGGCCCATTTACTTTGACAGAGATTTCATACCTTAAGGGGTAAATCTTTACATTCATTGTTGTTCCTCCTCAATTATTTCCTAACAATCTTCTTCTACATTCCCTTTGATGCCCCTTTATGTTTAGCTATTGTCCATCTGTTTCCTGAGTCAGTTTTGGATGTCAAGGATAATAGCTTTGCAATCATTCTGATCCTCAGTCTGTGTTTGCTTGTTTTCCAAAGGTTGTATATATTGTTTTGGCTCTGGATATATTTAGTGATTTCATTTTAAGATGTCATCTTGTGGACTAAACCATTTTTAAGGAGTACATGTGTGGAGGAAATACACAACTGACTATGATGACATTAAGACTGTGCCTTATCTATGCGGATGTCTCTCTAGACTCACCCTTAAACACGGGCAGGGCTTTAGGATTAAGCAGAATTGTGCTTCTGTAATCATAACTATACTCTCCAAAGAGTGATAATACATCTGCGTGTTGCTACTTAATCTCTCCCTCCACATGCTAAATTCTCTGTGTGCCACATACTGTACTAATCCATCTCCCCAGCACTTACAATTGTCACAGATAAATGCACAACAGAATCATACCAAGGGAATACCCAGTCTAACCCACTTTTATTGTATAGATTGTAAATGTTGTGACTACAGCAGTCAGTTTCTCTCAGCATTTACTTTAGCCTTGGGATCATTCCATCTTTTAAACATAATACTATATTAGTTGCGTACCTAACTGTAAATGAATACTATATCTAATTAGAAGTTTAGTGTAGATGTAATGTAGGCCTATGATAACTGAAGGAATTATGATGGTGTTGTCCCATTTTAATGAAAATGTTGATGTTTGTTATGTGTGAACGCTTTAAAAACAAATCTGAATTTATTTTATCATTGACAATGGACACGATTTGTTCTGGATATACAAGCTATTCTTTTTGATCACCACACACTCTTTACAATATTATTTTTCTAGCATTCTGTGATGCACTTTACCTGTATGTGAAATTCTTTATTTCTATGCATTTTCTTTTGCCCTCAGACTCTATGAAGGGAAGGAGCAGACTGAGTTTGAGGACTCGCTAAGGAGGCTTTTTGAGTCGATCAACAGCCTGATGAGAACAGACTACACCACCACACTTCTGCTCAGGGTAATCCCGTTTTTCTCCTTGTGTGCACACTTGCCAACTGGCATTTTCTATCACATTCATTCATCCTATCTTTTCAATCTCAATATATCCCTCTCTCTGTCTCATCTTCTCCCCGTGTTTTCACTTCTTTTGTCAGACTTTGACTACATCAGTATTATACTGCTTTTTGACTAGTTATACAAAGGCAGATCTTCAGACAGATCTAAGATGCAAAATTTAGGAACAGGAAAGCAGCCCTTTAGAAATGAAATAGATCTTTTCCAGCCCTCGTGAGGATAACCTGTTTGATGACAAAGTCACCTTCCACAGGCGTTTAAGGCGGCAGTTTTCCCATTGTGTTCTTTTTTTGTGTGGCTGTGTGTCATCAGGTTGCTGCTCTGAAGTACCTGCCGACAGTCCTGCATGATGTTGAAAAAGTGTTTGATGCTAAACTCCTGAGGTAAGCATATTCTTAAAAACAAAAACACAGACAGACAAACTCACTGGCAGTTCAACCTCGGTGTCATTCTGCTGCATTGACAGAGGGAGATATATGAGGTGTTTGAGTTTTCCTCGTGGCTTTGTTCAGTGACCCTCATTCTTCTGACTACCTCAGACTCCACAGTACTTAAGCCCTACCTTCTCCACCAGATGACTAAAATGTCATCAAACTGCCACACAGACGAGGACAGCTACTCAGACTTCAGCTACTCCGCGTGCCCCTGAGAAAAATGACAGTTTTACCAAAAACCATCCAGCCTGACGCTTTTCTCTTTTTCCCTCAGACTTCTTGATACTGAAACCGTTCTCTTGATCGGCAGTGAAACATGTTCTGTACTTTGCAGACCAAGAAATAACACACGTTTACATGCAAAATATATTGTTTTACAGATTATAAATATCAAGCATTTTCAGGTGTCATCTTGAAGTATATGACAGGTGTCTTGGAATAACACTTAACAGAAAAAAGCTGTTTTGTTGATTTACAGCAACAGATTTTCACACTGGCTCTATATATATTTCATTTTCTAAATGTGTCACCTGTGTAGGCTTCTATCTGTTCATCTCTATGTTATCAGAATATCTTTATCTACCTGTTTAGCCTCTTCTTTGATATTTCTAACACCTGTCTCACATACGAACGGAGCTCACACCCATACTTTGTACAAAGATGCTGAGGAGCAGAATTAAATGGCGTGGCTCTCATTTCATCCTGTTATTCTTTCTCTTTCTTTTCCACGCATTTTCCCTCATGCCTTTTCAGCTGCTCTTTACACACTTGGACACAAAGTTGTCTGAATAATTTGAACATAAAAGTAAGACCCCCACTGCATTCCTGATAAGAATTGCCCCGGGCACTCGACAGGCAAGCCGTGTGAATAACAATCACTGTGCAGTAGGTGGACATCAAAGAGTTCTCGTCTCCTGTAGGCCTCCAGTCCTACACTTTGTACACTCACCTGTGCTGTAACCAGTGGAGTGGTGCTCCCAATGATTCAGCTGCGCACACGTTTCATTGAACATGTCCTATACATTCCATATACATACCATGCGTTAGAGGGTGGCCCTTTTGGATTGTAATTAGAATCAACTCAGATGATTAGTGGGCCTGATAAGTCTGCGCTGAGCTGAGTGTCCCAGCCTGGCCTCGTGTTGACCTCCCTAATTCAAACGGAAAACAAACCTTTTTCCACTGTGTTTGTCAGGGAGCAGGCGGGGTGCATTTCATTATTTTGTGCCATTCATGAAACTGCATTCTATCTCTTACATAAAGGACATCGATAAAGTGAGAAACAGGAAGCAGACGGTTTGCAATTCTCTGAGCATACAACATTTTCTAAGTGGCTGCAGGATCTGCAACCAGACCATTTAATTGCTTTGAAATTGAATTTGGGGTGGAAGATGAGTCAGACCCATGTCTTCATGAAAGTCTAGGCTCAGTTTGTGTTTTTCTGGTTTGTTGTTTCTACTTACTGCCATGCATGCTGCATATTATCAAGGACCATTGGATGAAAACAATTCTGAACATTAATAGCTATGCTTTAAAAGCTTGCTTCCTGCATGTTTACTGTTTTTTTTTTTGTTGGGTCATCACACTTTTTATCACTCTCTTCCTGCAGTCAGCTCCTGCATGACTTTTATTCCTGTATCCCACCTGAGAAGCTCCAGAAACAGAAGGTGGCCTCCATGACCGAAATTGTAAGCAGCCAGCTCTTCCAGAAACAAGGTAAGTTATTCTTTTTCTTTCACTAAATCCCCTGCTTCTGCGCTCGGTTACGATCCAAAAGCAGAATAAATTGGGCGTCAAAAAGCAATTACAGATTTGTCCTTTGTCAAACATTTTCCAGCGTGAGTGAAATGCCACAAAATCCTGTGAAGTATTAATTTTCTTCTCACATAAAGTTGAAGATTACATCAAAATGACTTAAACATTGGACTGAAATGACAACTTGTCCCACTCTGCTGTTCGACAAGTACGAGGGTTTTCTGCTCTGTAGGCTTTTATCGTCATAACACTAAAAGCACAATGTTCCATTGTCTTTTGGGACAGTCTAGCAAAGCTTTGTTGATAAAAGCTCCAGCCAAAAGATTAAAGGGACATTGTGCTGTGTATGTAATTAGAATAATGTAATAGTTTCAATGTGATTTTGAATATTTAGCTTTTCTTCATTTTTACTAGATTTTCTAAATTGGATTTTCTTCGGTCTGAAGATGTCTTTACATGCTCAGAATTATGTGCAGCTACAACTGTCATTTTCTGTTTTAGTATTTTTTACTTTTAACAAAGTTATATCCCTTATGGTTTATTTTCAAGTGATGAATATTGAAATTTAAATTATGTTAGAATATTCAATTACAGTGCAGAAAAGGACAACATTTTCCATGTTATACATAACATGTTCCCAAAGAGAGGAGATGGCATCATATAATGTTTGTGGAGGATAGGAAACAAAATCAAAAGTCTATAATCTCCATGTCTTTTAAGCAATGCCTGCTCTATTTGGATAGGATTTCTATGGTTTCAGAATTTTTGGAATATCTTAAAAAAGTGTTTTTCAGATCAGTGAAGACACAATCTAGTTGGCTGCTTTATCAGCAGTAGTCCACACAGTGATGGATTTGAGTTATCTCATGTTATGACGCTGTATACACAATAAGTTTGTCAATAGTTACTACAATAGATTGTAAGTCACTATGGCAGAGCAAATTTGGTTTGAAGCTGTTTTCTTTATTTTTATGTCCGTGTCTGGAATGTGAGTGTTTTTCAGCAATTGCTAATCTTCATTACTGTGCATTTGTATGGCTTTGTCTGTGCAAAGCGGGTTAATTCTGTCATGAGATTAGCATTCAGTTATAAATTAAAAGAAGAATAAAGTACAAGAAAGTTTAAGATGGGAGACAAGGTAATTATTACTTGACAGGACAGTCACCACGCTGATTGGTGGATGGTAGACAGGATGGAGGGATCGTAAAGGAGTTATTGATGACACGGAAAGAAGGAAGGCAAAAAGATTGGTTTAGAACAAGAAGTAGTTACAGTTTTAGGCCTGTTAACAGTCAAACTGCCAATAAATCTGTTTTCTGTTGGCTGTAAAACACCTGCTCTCTCTTGCTCTTCTCTCCTCTCTCCTCCACCACAGTATTTGAGTCTTTTTCTGTCTTGTATACATTGGCACATTTATCTCAACCCCTGCTTTCCCAGAAGAGGTTTGACACTTATCTAATTGAGATGCATTTTAGCATTGGGATGCTAATCAGTGGGCATACATGCTATGGTGCCATTTGTTCAGCAGGATGAATGTGTGCAGCAGGGCTGAATTACATATTTATGATAGTTAATGGCCCTGGTGTCCCATCACTGCACAGTAATGCATATTTAATATCTTTACCTGTCCATCTGTATAAGTAGACATAAAAGCTCACTGTTCAGGAAAAAAAAATCAAGCCACTGACACTAACTCTTCAATGTAGGAACATGTGCATGATGGAGGAGGATTGTATGTGTCTGATTGTATGATTGTTGGACTGGGTAGACAGGTATGAATTGATTTGCATGTAAAAATAAGCACAAGCTCATCAAAATGTTTGACAAGTGGATTCTTAAATGATCATATGCTCAATGTATATAGAGCCTTTCTTGTTTTTGTCATTCCTACTCTCTTAACTTATCTGAGTTATTTTGGGCTTGAAGAACTTTACATTTGTGTGTCGACCTTATTCGGCTTCTTCATGACCGGTGGCTTCCACGGGCAGAGTTTGAAGGGATTGGGACTTTTTTTTCCCTCTCAGTCAGATATACTTGCCGGACTTATTTGACTTATTCAGCATACGCTCCTGGGATTATGGCTCTTGGCATGCATCTAGTTTCTACACACACACATGCACACACACAGCGGGCACATGCACATACTGGCACAGATGCATTGATGGACATGTGCAAACTGTCATGTGGGTTAATCTGGTTTTGAGACTAAATTAAATTTACAAGGCGCATTATGGCTCAATTTAGGCAAATTATTATTCCATCAGGCAATCACTGGGACAGATTGAGAGCATCAACTCTGATAAAAGAAAAAAAAGAGATCAGGAAGAGCAAGAACAGTGACAACGGTGTAAGTCTTTTTTTTCCCTCGTGTTCCAAAACTAGACAGATTCAGTCCACTTAAACCATTAAAAAATATATATATATGTATTTCTTTGCTCCTCTTATAGGTATACTATTATTTTCTTGGAATATAACAAACAGATAAAAAAAAACTTGTATTCAAATAATCCACTCATAAAGATGTTGGAGTTGTCCATAATTAATTAAACTAGGAGTCAGCAGAGTAAATCTATTGTATGTATTTCATAACGTTGTCAGAATCTAATTACTTCTATTGCTTTTGTTTTACAGTCGCACATTATGGAGCATTGTTCACACCCTGTCTGTATTTCCCTGATGTGATTACTTAACAGAGGCATGCCTGTACCTGATGAATATGAATGAGTGATGCCCTGAGCAGCGTTTATTGTCAGAATGTAATCAGCGCTGAGTGATCATGGTTGCCCCTATTCTCTCAACCAATCAGCAACAGAGACAGGTCAGGTGAAGCAGAACAATGCTTTGGAAATCTGGCTTCTGAGAAAGGTTTAGTTGATATAATTATTCATATTATACAAACGAGGTTCTTGACTTGGATATATATTGAAATACAGTGCCTGTTGTGACCACCATGCATGTGTGTAGGCTGTGAAGTGGTATATATGAGATGGCCAATATGAGGGAAAGCAAGTGTAGACGTGTATGACAAAAGCCAGCAATTATAATGGCATATCGCTATGTCTGGCCATCATCAAAGCAGCTGCTTGAGCTGTAATTCCAAATCTGTCAGCTCCGCTGCGGCAATCAGTGAATAGCGACATGAGAGTGTGTAACAGGTTGCTTGTTGGGCAATGAGCTCCCATCTGCCTCATGCCTTATCTGTAGTTATGGAGACCTATGAAAAGGCTGACATTTGCATGATAAAACAAGATAATAGTCTCGCAACTTTCTCTCATCCGAAAAGCTTCTTCATTTCTGAACAGGGATGTTCTCACCTGGCGCTTCATTGCAGTCACGTGTGTTACTGAATCATTTGACTAAAGTGTATGTGCTTTGAGTTATTCTTAACTTTAAATATTCCTGTTGTTGGACAGAGGGAGTTTTAGGCACATGATCCAAATGTTAAATGAACTGCATTCTATGATATCTGTTCCCAACTGCATTGGGAGCAGAGATTATACATGCAGGCACAATCTCCTCTGTTCAAAGGTGGTTTCTCCAGTCTAAGATAGACAGCCTCCTCAGCAACATTCTGTGTCCAGAATTACAACGTCGCTGTCCTCAAAAGAGTGTCCTTTTTCCTTAAAATGAAGGTGAACGTGTGAGTCTTGACTTGAAGCGCTGGATCTCCTGTGCTTTGCCCTGTAATTTGTCACTTGGTCTGCAGTTTCCTCCTTGCTCTGGATTTCTTCACCGATCTTACAAAGACCCAGTTTGGATAGTCAAAGTTTTCAATATTGTTCTTACAGTGTTAAGATTCCTGTTAGTATTTATTACCTGGATGACTAAGAATCTGCATTAATAGCTTTTAGAACTTTGCATTTCGTGCTCAATTCCTCCCTTCTGTTTTTCTCTAGTGTTTTTTTACACTTACATTCCTTCGGAGTTAGATATTCAGTTAACAGTATACACTGAGTTGAAGCAGCAGCATTTGTGTATAAAAATGTCTGTTGGGGTGTTTAACAGCAGATAAGCCATCTGCTTCGTGAGATTTTTAAATGTTGTTGTTCAAACTGACCCAAAATAGCAGCACTTATTGTGGAGCTTTGGCTTGATGGCTTTAGAAGGTTAATGAGAGTGCGCTAGGTGCCGACTGTCATCCCATCTCTGTAGAGATTGCAGTCAGGGAGGTTGTGAATGGACAAAACAAGGGATGGATGAGACTAATGGAGTAAAGTGAAAGGAGTTTAATCATTTTGGGAAATGCCTCTGTCTCTTTCCCTCCCTCTATCTCATTTATATTCTGAAGCCTCTGCCTGTGGGGGATCTTAGCGGAAACTGAATGTAGACAAGGACAGCAGAGGGACACAGTGTATGAGCACACTTACCCATAAGTCATTTTGTAAGTTGTGAGGGTCTGTTAATGGTAACCAGGGATGTGAATAACATGACAAAGAGTCATATGCGCTTATTGTTCACTACCTTAGATCAGGAAAACCAGTTACTTGGGTTCCAGCGACATGTAATTCCTGCTGTCCTGTTTATGTATCTGTGTTTACGTGCTGTTCATAGACAGCAGCAGTTGTAGCAGTAGCTGTAGAGGAGCTGGAGATACTCTAAGGACATAATGCAAACATCCTCAGCTTCAGTGAGACCCTTATTGTCCAATTTGACCACAGAGACTACATGGTGGAAAAACATGGATCCTATATGCAGTGTGAAGGCTTAATTGGAATATTAGTTTCCACTACTGGAGATGAATCTGTCTCAGTTGGAGACCAAACAGACTTTTTGTTGTTGTTATTGTTGCTGATATATTTCAGATAAATCGAAAAGTCTTGCAGTAACCATGGTCACAAAAGCATAATGATTTTTGATTTCATTCACACAATGGAGGATGCGTAAGAACAACGCAGAGATGACTGGTAGCAATTTAAGGGTGACTCATCGAGGGTGACTGAGCTGTGTGGAAATAAAG